AATGAAAGATATTATTTCATTATCAAAATGTTGATGTAGATTATTAAATCTAACATTTAAAATTTTTCTTGCATACGAGTATAAGTTTCACAGCTTTAATGCTTTACTTATTCATTTGAGTTTAGAATGTTCTTGTTGCTGTTATCTTGAAATATTATCATATCATTTTTTTGAAAAGTAAGTATTTCACTTTTCAATTGATTGTGAATAAAACCTTGTTTCAAACTTTTCTCTGTTATTGATCACTTCATAGATGATAGCCCACTTTCGATATTCTGGCTGACTAACAACACATTGAAGACAGAATGGGAAACAGTAGGTTCCCTGGAGTCTTGCCTTCATTTCTTTTGTATGCCTGGTCAACCAGAATATCGAAAATGGGCTATTTGTACATTGAGCCAAAGGACCCCTCCACATGAGATAGGGTTCGATCGCCAAGGTTGTAAGACCTCTTGTTTTCAAACAGTACTAATGTTTTATTAATCAGTTCTATATCGGCTGATATAGATTCAATCATGTGACTTAATGCTTGATCCTGATTGGATTAATAGCTCATGAATTATTAATGAGTTTGATAAATGAACTTGTTCAATAATCTTATCACCAAGAGTGTATACCATTATTCAGATTACCACAGGAAGCCCACGCATGCGATCTGAGATCGTCTAGTGTTCTTTACAAAAAACAAGCAAATAAATAATAATTTTCATTGCGTGAATAAAAACACGCAAATCTTTGCTTATGTAAATTTTACCTCATTAGCATATGAATTTCTCTTTTTTAAACACAAAATCATCCAATTATATGGCAAATCTAAACGTATTAGGAGTAACCACATGCGCTCCTTGAGCGACTTTAATTTTATAGAAATACCGGCCCGTACTAGCGTACTAAGGTACAGTACGCATTTTTATAGGAATACCGGCCCGTACTAGCGTACTAAGGTACAGTACGCTTTTATTATAGGAATATCGGCCCGTACTAGCGTACTAAGGTACAGTACGCTTTTATTATAGGAATACCGTCCCGTACTAGCGTACTAGCGTACTAAGGTACAGTACGCTTTTAGGTCAGGTCAGGGATTGTTTTCTCTGCTACTGGTAACATTGTAGCCCAGTACAACCTGTCGCATGGTCGAATGGTCAGCGACTAAATCGGCTCCCCCACTAGTTCACACTAGTGAGGAGGGTGGCATGTCACCCAGCAGGACGAAAAATAAGACCTGTCAAAGGGCGGATGAACTCCTSRCGAGCCAACGGCCATYATGCRACCATARGTAGTAGCGGCGACACACCTATGGTATACACCAGCTATCGAAAAGATGAATCACACAACAGAAAACGGCACCAGGGTTTCAGCCCCTGCCCCACCGGATCCTGCTTCGAATCTCGTTTCACAACACATGAAACCAAATGACGGAAACACCCTAAATCCTGGMGGACGGGCTTTTTCCGATGGGAGGAAAGCAGGCCGATATCSTCCACGACTTTTGAAATGCAGAATTCCCACAGTTCTAAACACTTTCAACGTCCGAACCATAGTAAATCCAGCAGGAAGACTCCAAGAACTCGTTTTCAATGCCAAAAAGTTCCAAATCGATATCATTTGTGTGCAAGAACATAGATTCTTACATGAAGACTCGAACCTCGAATACAAGTCAATTGAAGATTACCAGCTAATAACATCCTCTGCGTACAAGAACAGACAAGRCTCTACCATTGGTGGTGTTGGCATACTATTGTCCCCAAAGCCATAAACAATCTGCTACACGTTGAAAAGATCTCTAACAGAATCGTGTTAGTAGAATTTGAGGGGAATCCTAAGACAACCATAATAAGCTGCTACAGCCCGACCAATGTGAGTGATGAGAGTGAAGTAGAAAGCTTCTATAAAGACCTCAAGAGTGTGACAGAAAATGTCCCCGCGCATAATTTTCTTGCTATAGCTKGGGRCTTCAATGCCAAAGTGGGTCCARAGGAYGTATCCTATACTTATAACTTGTCAACCAACAGAAACGGCAATGAACTACTAGATTTTGTAGATGAATTCCAACTCGTCATTACGAATACTAGATTCATGAAGCCAGCCAGCAAGTTATGGACCCACCAGTACCCTACTGGGGCTAGATGCCAGCTTGATTATGTACTGGTAAGGAATAAATGGAAGAACAGTGTCAGAAATGCGCAAGCGTATTCTACTTTTRCAAGTGTTGGATCGGATCACAGAATCGTATCTTGCTATATCAACTTGAGTCTTAGGGCCTCCAAAAAGCCAGTAAAGCACCCTATGAAGCAAATAGACTGGYRACTTGTAACCTCGAACCCAGAGCTGGCCTCCAAGTATGCCAYAGACGTGCACAWCARATTTGATATATTAACCGAGCAAGGTGACGATATCGACATGCAGTACAAGAGCATCATTACTGCTACCGAAGAGGTTGCTCTTAGTACGCTCCCAAAAAAGATAAAAAAGAAGTCAATCCCCTTCAGCTCCCACTCACTCGTCATCAAAAGACGAGAACTTTTACAGATCAGAATCATAGAGCACCAGGAGAATCAATCAGAAACCACAAGAAAGGCCRTTGMYAAAGCCCAGAGGGAACTTGACGATGCTTATYTCTCTGCCGAGACTGAGYTMATCCAAGGAAAAATCTCCCAGATGGAAAGAGAGAGTACTGCGAATCAGCATGCTTCCGCCTGGAAAACTATCAATGAAATCACAGGCCGTAAACGCAGACCATCCATCACCATCAAGGGYGGCTCTCAGGAAAGAAGGAAAGAGAACTGGTTGTMCCACTTCTATAATCTTCTTGGTAGCCCTCCAAAGCCCTCCGGCAATCAGCAACTCCCAAAAATCCAGATTGCGGAAGAGCTTGAGATCTCTACTGCACCTTTCACAATGGAAGAAATACGTGTGGTAGTGAAACAGACCAAAAGCAATAAATCCCCTGGCCTAGACCACATCCCCGCAGTAATCTGGAAAGACCCAATATTTCACGAGCTGCTCCTAAGCATCTGCAATCACACCTTCATGACCTTCACACCTCCCTCCAAATGGTTAGAATCGGGTATTATACCTGTCCCAAAGAAAGGAGACCTCACAGACCCGTTCTACTACAGAGGCATCTCGCTCACTCAAATAGCAGCAAAGATGTATAACAAACTTATCCTCTATCGCCTCATGCCACCGGTAGATCCTATTCTTCGCATGAACCAGAATGGGTTTCGTAAAGGAAGATCTGCCATTGCRCAAATACTATCTCTGAGGAGGATAATCGAAGAAATGAACAGGTATAACATGGAGGTTGTAATCTGCTTTGTTGACTTCAAGAAGGCTTTTGATTCAATCAATAGAGAGTCCATTTTCGAGATCCTCCCACTATATGGAATCCCTCACCATATCATAAAAGCAATAAGAGCGCTATACATAAATACCAAAGCCTAAGTCATCACACCTGATGGAGAGACTGACTTCTTTGATATTGAAGCAGGAGTACTGCAAGGATATACGCTAACTCCTTTCCTATTTATAATTGTCCTGGATTATGTTCTGCGGATATCCCTTGACCAACACAACGAAAAAGGGCTRCAACTACATCCTAGGAGAAGCCGCAGAAATCCTGCAAAATTTCTCACAGATCTTGACTTTGCTGACGATCTAGCAATAGTATCGGAACTGGCCAGTAATGCTGAATTCCTTCTTCACATACTGGAAAAATCAGCCTCCCTTGTTGGACTTTACTGTAACAAACCGAAGACGAAATACATATCATTATCTTCAGATCCCTCATCATTAACTGCCTTGTCCGGGAARAACATYSAGCGAGTCGACRACTTCAAGTACCTGGGCTCTTTTATAATGGACTCCTTTAAGGACTTTAAGATTCGCAAGGCACTAGCCTGGAAAGCCTGTAACNATACCTTACCCCGTCATGTCTATGCTTATCTGTTATGAGAAGCCGTCTCTTATATATGACGATTTTTTTGTATTTCCATCAATGTGGGCTTTCATCAATGCTTCGCTTCAATTTCATACGTCGAAAAATCGTACGCATATGCGCATTAGCTTCTTATTTGTTATGAACGATGACGCTGACCAAAAAGAACGATCTGACATGACGTAAGACGATGCCATGACAACTACGAAATGACGCTGGTCAAGAAAAACGCTGGCTCTCCAAACCACGAGGGATGTATATCGATTGAAGTCTTTCAAGTTCAAATCGGTAAGTAAGCCTTGTTTTTGCATTGTTTCTACTCTTTGTATATCACAGCTTTCATTTTACAATTTCGATTGTAATAATGGAAGCTTTTTTTAGTGTTTTTGACATTTTAGGCCGATCTTTATGGCGGCATTACAAGATAAATCCACGTTCGATGGCGATGTTTCAGACCGACAGCGAGTGCAAAGACCTCTGCTCTTCCTTGATGCAAAGATCAAAAAAACAAACCAACTGCAAACAAACAGTGACTTTACGACAAAAACAGAACAAATACAAACTGACTAAACCCCATTGCGGGTTAAATCATTACAAACCYCATTGCGGGTTCAATCAATACAAACCCCATTGTGGGTTAATATCAAATCAACCTCTTATTAAGAGGATATATCAGCCAAACGAGCCCTATTATGGGATAATTGAGCCACGAAAGTGGATATTTGAGCCCATGGTTTGTGGGATAAACAAACTAGTTCCTGTATTATACGGAACACGTATTTGCTATAGTAATGTAGCTTCATTTATAAACCAAAACAACATGAAAGCTGTGATAAATAAAGAACAGAATTGTGTGAAAACTGTTGTTGATGATGAGTTACTTATGTATAGATCTTCCATTAGAAATACACATTGTAAACATGTTAAAAAACGTGCTAGAGATAGAGAACCATCAAGAATTTCTGTGCAAAAAGTATTGCGACTATTGAGAAAGAGAAAACTGAGGCAAAACCTCAAAAGGTCTATTAGACTATCAACACCACCATCATCAAAGCTTTATGAACTAGCTAGTCATTATAAACTTTGGAATATCAAGGTCACTAGTAGAAAAATGAGCTTTTTTACATCTTACTTCAAACATAATGATAGTAAAACACTTCCAAAGCATAAATTCACGAAAAATCAAAAATTATGTAGAAAACAAAAAGATATGTTTGTTTCTAAAACAAATTCAGCTTTATATGATATATCTTCAAGAAACATTGCACTGTCTGGAGACATTGAATTAAATCCGGGACCTACTGATGAATTATCAATACAATTTAATGACCCTCAGTTTGTATTCAAGTATAGATTACTCAGATATAGACTTAAACCACTAGATGTTGGCGGCGGAGGTGATTGTTTTTTTAAGTCAGTATCTCATCAATTGTACGGTGATTCAAGCCATCATTTACAAATAAGGGCATCTGGTATTAGGTATTTGAAAGAAAATCCTGAACGATTCATTGAAAGTAATTTAGAAACATCATGGCTAGAATATATAACAAATATGTCTTTACAAGGTACATGGGCTAATCATATGATAATACAAGCAGTAGCTGATGCAATGAATTTAAAGATTAATATCATAGAATCAGATGAAAATTTTAGAGACATCACAATTGTAGAACCTGCAAATACAGCAGAAAATGTAAATTCTATATTCATAGGCCACATTGGAGAGATGCATTATGTATCAACAATTTCTGCATTGTGCAGACAAGATGTTGATCTTGCTAACTGTGAAAAAACTAATGTGCCCAGTGGAAAATCAGTGGACAATACTCTAAAGAGAACATGTGCTTTTGAAACACCAGAAATAGTACAGTCTAAAAAACAATGCAGCAATACTGATAGCGAATTTGATGAAATTTGTCCAAACAACAATCCAGTACAGCTGAATAATAAATCAAAAAAGGATTCAAAACAAAAAAAAGCAGAATATATGGCAGAATATATGAAAATGTATAGAGCAAAAAAGGCTAGTTCACAACAAAAAGCAAAACACAATGAGTATCAAAGACAATATAGAGCAAAAAAAGCATGCCCTATAGAAAAGGCTAAAGTCAATGAATATAAAAGACAATCTAGAGCAAGGAAAGCATGCCCCAGGGAAAAGGCTAAAGTCAATGAATATCAAAAACAATTTAGAGCAAAAAAGACACCTATAAATACTTTAATTTCAAAATTTCATGCACTTGTAAGTCAAGGTCCTTTATATATTTGTACATGCTGTGATCAACTATGGTATAAACATAGTGTATCAGACGCTAGGAAATTAAGACATTCCAATCCTGACATTATAAAATATCTTTGTAATAGGAAAAGTGTCAATGATAAAGAATGGATTTGTAGAACCTGTAATAGCCACTTAACTAAAAATAAAGTGCCACCATGTGCTATAACTAATGGTATGAATTTTCCAGAAAAACCACAGTTTTTTGACCTTAATGAGCTGGAATGTAGATTATTAGCACCAAGAATAGCATTTCAGAAATTAATGCAAGCTCCTAGAGGGAGACAGCTCAAAATCCATGGCAATATTGTTAATGTGCCTGCTGATGTTACACATACAGTTAGTATGTTACCACGGTTACAAAGCCAGACTGGTACTATTAAAATAAATTTAAAGAGAAAGTTACAATACAAGAGTTCATTATTGTCATTAAATGTTAGGCCACATAAGGTTGTTGAGGCAGCAAACTGGTTAATTAGCAATAGCAGTCTTTATAAAGATGAAGGCATAGTATTTGATGTTGATTGGATCAATAAACACAATTTAGAAATAGCACAAATTGAAAATGATGACCAAAATACTGTAACAGAACAGTCAAAAACAAGCAGTGAAGACAGCAAAGTTCATGTTTCTGAAAACAAAATTGATAATGATGATGACACAAGTGAAGATGAAGCGGAAGAACCTGCTGGTGTAACTGACACTATGTTAACACCAACTGATTTTATTGAAGATAATGAACGGCAAAACATTTTAAATGTTGCTCCAAGTGAAGGCAATGTACCACTTAGTGTTTTTAGAGACAAGTATTCTGAAGAATTAGCATACCCAGGAATATTTCTAGGTCAAGCTCGACCAGACAATAAACTACGATTAGTTAAAGTAAATTACAGCGACATCTGCAAATCAGAATTAAGGTGCTCAGATAGACGTGCTGCCATGTGTGTTGAAAATATATTCTATAAAACAAAGAAATTGCAAATGAAAATTCTTTTGGGAAAGTCAAACATTGCTATGAGAAAATGTAAAGGTAATAATCGAAATATAAATGCAGGTCAATTAAAGCAAGAGGGAGCTGTAGACAAATTAATTCGTCTTGATGAAGGTTACAAATTCTTGAATGCATTAAGAGGTTCGCCTCCATACTTTGAGAAAGCTAAGAAAGACTTGTTTGCAATGATTAGACAATTAGGACCAGCTACACTGTTTTGTAGTTTTTCATCAGCAGAAACACACTGGATACATTTACTAAGAATACTTGGTCAACTTGTGGATAATAAGCTATATTCTGATGAGTATTTAGAAAATCTGAACTGGGAGGAGAAGTGTCGATTAATACAAAATGACCCTGTGACATGTGCCAGGCATTTTGATTATCAAGTAAATCAATTTCTGACTAACTTTCTCTTAAGCTCTGCTGAACCGTTAGGCAAAGTAGCTGATTGGTTTTACCGTGTAGAATACCAACAAAGAGGATCTCCTCATATTCACATGTTAATATGGCTAGATGGCGCACCTCAGTTTAAAGTTGATAGTGAACAAGAGGTCACAGCATTCATTGATAACATAATAACATGTCAAAAGCCAATAGATGATACATGCTTATCTGATTTAGTGAATGGTAGACAAATACACAAACATTGTCATACATGCCGTAAGAATACTAGAAGTCAGTGTAGATTCAATTATCCACAACCTCCTTTGAGGGAAACTATGATAATTTATCCTTTAGATAATGAGACACCTGACAGTGAGATCAAAATGCACAAAGATAATTGGAAAACAATAAAGAAATATCTAGATGATATGATAGAAGGGGAGGATATCTCTTTTGATCAGTTGCTATTGAATTTAAATGTTAGTGAGCAAGACTATCTTAATGCTATTAGATCATCATTGAATACACCCACTGTGTTTCTAAAGAGAAAACCAAATGAATTACGTGTTAACAATTACAATGCCGCTTGTCTCAAAGCATGGAGAGCTAATATGGATATCCARTTTGTACTTGATGTCTATGGTTGCGCTGTGTACATAGTGAATTACATATCAAAAGGTCAGAAAGGCATGAGTGAACTTTTACGACAGGCTTGTGCTGAAGCCAGAAATGGAAATTTGAATATTAAACAGCAGGTTAGAGACATTGGCAGTAAATTTGTCAATAATGTGGAAATAAGTGCTCAAGAAGCAGTCTATATTGCATTACAATTACCTTTCCGAAAATCATCAAGACAAATCATATTTATAAATACCTCTCCTCCTGATGAGAGAGTTGAACTTTTGAAACCAATTAATGACATAAAAGAAATGGATGATGACTGTGAAGAAATMTATACTAGTGGATTAATAAAACGATACTGTAAACGTCCAGCTAAACTAGAAAGTGTGACATTGGCAGATTGGGCTGCCTGGTATGATAGTAGTGGAAAACCTTATGTCAAACAAACAGATGAATTAGATTTTGATGGGCTGCCACTAGAATCATTTGTTGATGATGATCAAAATGATGATGAATGTGAAATGCAAAATAATACTGGAAAATCTAAAAAGAGAAAGAAAGCTAGAATAATTAGAAGTGTCTGGTATAACAAAGAATCTGAACCAGAGAAGCATTACAGAGAATTGTTAATGTTGTTCACATCATGGCGTAATGAAGAAATTGATCTTCTTAGTAATTGTTCTTCATATCAAGAGAGATTTGTGCAAGTTCACAACATGATCGATGAACAAATGAAACAA